CCCTATAAAGCAGACCCACTTTACAGATGAGAAAAATGAGGCTCAGAAGGGTTAAAAACTTGTCCAGGGTTGTGGAGCTGAAAATGACTGTGTCTTCAGTACAAGCACAATTTACAGTGCCTAACTAGTACTATGCCAGGTGCACAGTGGGGCTAGCTAGAATTTGCCAGATTCCTCAAGACTTTTTCGAATTCTAGAATCATGGCGTCTCCAAGACAAGACTCTAGCCTACAGAGTCACACTAGATATTTGGTGCCCATGGAAAGACTCCATTCCAGAGCTTCAAACCTTTCTTATCTTCTTAGTGCTCACTTAGTAATGCTTTTAACTAGATGTCTGAGGACCAGAATAAATTCTAGTACGTATTGGAAGAGTGGTTAACTCCCTTTCACTCCTCTCTGATCTCTACTCTGTTAATAGCTATTGTCAAACTAGCTATACACTTGGCTTAGCCCTTGAGGCAAATGCTTATCCACCCATCCATCTGTTCATCACCCACCCACCCACCTATCCAGTCTATATTGTTTTATCCATTTCATTCAACAGATACTTTCTGAGCATCTATTCTGCCATGAACACAGATCAGTTCTTCATAATAAGTCTTATGGAGACCAGAAAGATGAGTCAAAGAGCTCAGCTGCCCCTCCAGAAATAAGGCATGCCTATAGATAACTCCCATGCAAAGCAGAAAATTACATGTGCCAGATGAGATAACATAAGGAGCTATGAAAGGTCCTGGAGGAGAGAGAGATTACTCCTGCTGGGTGTCATGATGGGAAAACAAAAAGGTTCCTTGGTGGAGGAGGTATTTGAGGTAGGCCTTGAAGGATGCCCAGTTTGAGATCATGCAAAAATGGAAAAAGGGATGCTTGACAGAGAAAGCATCATGAGTGAAGATGGGGACATGGAGATGTACTGGGTCTGGGAACAGCAAACATGGCTGGATCTTAGAGCTCAGGAGGTTGAGATACATTTGGGGTGGGAGGTTAGGGGCCAGATTGTGGAATCCCTGAACCCAGACTAGAGTTAGATTGTAATCTGTGGGCAACAGGGGGTCATAGAAGGCTTAAGCAGAGAAGTGACATGATCCAAGCCATGCTTTGGGAAAATGAATCTGGCTGCAGCCTGGGAGCTGGATTGGACAGGCAGAGGCAGTCCACAGGGAGACCAGTAGCTCAGGCTGGGGTTGTGAAGGTCTAGGCTTGGGCAGGGGGGCTGAGGAAGGAAAGGGGGAAGAGGGAAGAAGTCCTAGAGGCCAAATGTGCAAAGCAGGACTTGATCTGGAGATCTGCCAGAGAGGGGCAGGTTGCAAGCCTG